TATCTTTACCCACTTTTTCTTTTCCAGGTCACTGGTGCCCATATCCAGCAGTCGCTGCGTGAAAGGCGGGGGACGCCCTGGACAGGTCTCCAGTCCATCACAGGGACACAAAGAGACAAATGAGACAACGAACGTTCACTCTCTCATCTAGGGACAATTTAGAGTTACAGTCAGTCTAACATGCATGTTTTTGGTCTGTGGAAGGAAACCGGAGTACCCAGAGAAAACCCACGCATGCACGGAGAGAACATGCAAACTGCACCCAGAAAGGTCCCGGGCCGGGATTTGGTCTGGCGACCTTCTGGCTGAGAGACAACAGCTCTACTGCCTTTAAAAAATCTCTCAGGGTGTAAATACTTTGTAACTTCTGTAGCTTCTGGATTCAACCTCATTCAAGATGGCTGCCACAGCAAAACAACTTTAGTAAACACCACGAAGACTACAGCTCATTCGATTATACAAATACTGAGCTAAAACTTGTGTGGTAGTAGCTGACAGTCGTTCACATCATGTAGTAATAATAATAACTATAATTTATTCAATTTGTACTGCACTTTACATTTTGCAATCTCAAAGTGCTACAATATAAATCGTCTAGAGAGAGTAAACATGGACTAAAAAATTTAAAACTAAAAAATACCAAAAACAGCAGGATTAAAAATATCTTTAAATACTAGAAAATCTTTAAAATAAAAGTATTCAGTCCTTTCTTAAAACTTCTTGCAGTGTGGGGTATCCTTAGCTGGTTGGGGAGGTTGTTCCACAAACGAGGAGAGCAAAAGGCCCTGTCCACCCATGGTGTCGTCACCCATGCTGGTGTCACCCATGGTGTCACCCATGGTGCACAGTTTTGTCCGGGGAGGGCGGAGCTGGTAGGAATTTGTGGAGCGAAGGGACCATGTTGATGTCTGAGCAGTGAGCAGTTCTTTAAAACAGTGTGGAGCGTTGCCATGAATGGATTGGTGGGTGGGTAAGGAAAACTTGTATTCAATACGGAGTGAAATGGGAAGCCATTGGAGGGATTTAAGGATTGGGGTGACGTGGTCATGTTTCCTTTGTGTCATCAGAATCCTGGCTGCACTGTTTTGTACATACCCAACAAAATCCATGCTCAGTAATCCAGGTATACAATCCAACAATTTTCAGTGAGGTCATCTGGACAGTTTATTTTTTTGTGTGTGCTGAAACGTTTCACCTTCCATCCAGAAGGCTTCATCAGTGAAGGAAACACACAATACAAAACTGATTCTTCCCCCAAACAGCTTACTCCAAAGTGGAACAAACCAGTTATGTTGGTGCTAAGATGGTCTCTTTGGCACACTCCCTCCTACAGTGCTGGCCCTCTCCCTCGTCGATAGTCATGTCAAATTGGTTCAAAACCAACAAAGTCCATGCTCAATAATCCAGGTATACAATCCAACAATTTTCAGTCAGGTCTGTACATACTGAAGTTTTTGAATGCACTCTGAGCACGAGACATTGCATGAGATCCAACACAGCATCTTTACAAGAATTGTCCAAAACAGCCATAGCTCCGCCCCTCTATTATAATTTGATTCTAATTTAAACCTCAAACTGAGTCGCTGAGTTTGTGACGCGAAGAACTGAAATGTAACAAAAGATACGACGACCTCAGGAAGGTTTGTGTCCCGTCATGTTTCTCAATGAGCGTCTGAGTCTTTGACTGAACAACTTTTAGTTTCTCATAAAATTCAAGGCTCCGGTTTTATATTTACCGAACGTGACGTCGAGGACAAATCTGGGCTTTCGCACAGTAAGGCTGCAGCGACTCTTATCAGTCCGGCTCGTCCTCTCCTCACATTTTATTGTAACTTAAGCTTCAAAAGGGACAGTCTGGTAAAAACAAGCAGAGAGAAAATTGGATTTCCTCTGAGCTCCTGCTTTTAGAAGAACTCACAATGTGCCACCATCAGAGCCGTGGCGTCGATGAATGGGATCCACGCTCAGATCTGCAGAACGGCTGCACAAAATCATTCCTCTCCTGATCCCACAGATAGCACTTCAGAGCCGTTTGAGCTGAAAGCAGGTGTGCTGATGAGCTGCGAGCGTTCAACTTCAGTTTTTACCACCTGAGTGTGAAAGAACAGCTGCTTCTAAAACTGAGACAGGTTTTTTTTTTTTTTTCAAACCAGTCGTGCTCAAACATGAAGATGTTGGAAAATTATCAAACCATTACACATTCCTGCAATTAGATGCAACTTTATTGAAACTTCCTGCAGAATCATGACTTCTGCCTGATCGCTGTGGGATCTGTGGACGAGCGTGTCGCGGAGCTGTGATAAAAGTAAACGACACAAAGTAAACGCTGATCTACTGAAGGACGTAAAGACTGGTTTCCATTTTGTCTCACAGATGGAGAAACAGTAAATATTGTTTTACTGTTAGAGAGAAACTGCAGCAGAGACTCACGGTGGAAACACAAAGAAACCATTTTATGTTCGAGCGGAGCAAAACCATCAAGACGTTTGTTCAAAGAGTTACTTTTTTCAGCTGCCTTTTCTATTTGTTCCAAACAGGGTTTGATAAAGGTCTGCACCACAACAAGCAGTCCAAAGGAACCAACTTCCAGACATGAGCTGGACAACAGGAGAACAGAAACATGTAAATCATTTATCACAGAGCTGAAGTGAAAACAGCTGGTTGAACAATCAGCTGAACAGTCCAGGTGAGTGCAGCACAGGAAGCTGAAACACTGAAACTGGGCTCAACTACTACCGGTAATTGTAAGATGAGTGTTTTCTGGACTGGAACTGAACAGAGAATGAAGTAAACCTAAATGTTTTTGGTGCAACATATTAATTTGAGTAGGAATTAAACTGGGGAGAAGAATAGAGGCAGATTTTAGCATCACAATAAGCTTTATTATCATTGTACCGGGATACAGTGAAATTATGTTCGTACAGTCGTCTGAAAGATGGGCCGAGTGCACGTTGCTGCTGCTAAAAAGAGTGGCCCCTTATTCTTTATCAGAATACTTTTAGACAAGAAAAGGTAAAAGGCCATGAGGATGGATAGTGGCAAAAACAGCTAGATCATAAGGCGAATATAGAAAACTAAAAACAGGAACATGTCTGCATTGGTTCCTGCCAGGAGTCCAACAGATTCTTAAAACCACTTAGAGAGGTCAAGGTCGAGAGCTTCAGGTCTTTTTGCAAGATATTCCAGGAAACAGGAGCGGAGTAGGAGAAGGCCCTTTTGCCTAGTTCAGTCCTCACTGAGGGAACACTGCAGGTAATAATGTCCTGAAAGTGCACGCTGTAGCTGCACTCACGCAGAGACATGTAGGAGGAGATGTATGAAGGCAGCAGACCAAGAAGTGATTTAAAGATGAAACGGTGCCAGTAGGAGAGTCTGTGTGAAGTTAATGATGTCCAGTTAACCAGTGAATACTGGGTGCAGTGGTGGGTACGATAATCACAGCCAGTTATGAATCTTAGTGCACCATGATAGACAGCATCCAACATCTACAGGGTTCATGTAAATAATGTCACCGTAATCAATGGAGGGAAGGAAGGTCACAGATACAAGGCGTTTCCTAGCATTCAGAGTTAGACAGGATCTGTTTCTTAAAAATATAGATGATGAATGCGATAGATGAAGCTTTGTCTCTAGTTAACCATGTCCCAGGAGAAATTTGATAGTCGGCTCGTATCCGAGGCCAAATGGGGGAATCAGATTCAGATAAGCCACAATTGTTGAATTTCTTCAGGCAGACTGTTTATTTTTTTGGCTTGTCAGCCTTGAGTCATGCTGGAACTTTCCCAGTCCAAAATGGCCAAATGTATGGGTATTTCACTCCACTGGTCCATGTTATGAACCTCCTCAAGGTCGATCCCAACATTCTGGCAAGTCTTAGAAGCTGCAGGTGGCCTGTGATTCTCACAAATCGCTTCCATCTTATGGTTTAGCTTGTAAGTCACCTGATTTTGAGTACTCGTAGCACAAACCAAACTGTCACACTGCCTTGAAAGCTTTGCCATGGCCGAAATTGCTGCAATACATTTTTTTTGTCCAAGACAGTGCAGAATGACGGATCCTGGTGAGTGAAGGGAAAACTTTTTTCTATCACTAGGTGGAATGGTTAAGACAGTGAGTGGCCAATGGTGGCCTTGGTCACCGCAGATTAAGATTTGGCCACCCCACCGGCCACCTCAATCATGAGGAAATTATATTTTTAAGCAATATAAAAACTAGAAAGCATAGTTTCCTCAAATGATCGGGTGGCCGGTTTACATACATACATACACACACATATATATATATCTTGGATTTTGATTGAGCAACCTAGTTTTTGAAAGGAAGCTGCAGCCACACACCAAAACTGAAGTGGGTACCTCGCCTGTTTTTCAGGTTATCATGCTCACAACATTCACAGATGGATGGACAGACAGAAGATATTTTCAATTCAGGTCTCATATTCAGGTCTCTCTTGTAAATGAGTCCTTGAGGCTCAATGGGATTAACCTGTCTAAATAAAGGTTGAATGAATTCCACCTTTTTGCTCTGCAACGAGGGTCAGTGAGGACTTAGTACATTTACAAAAACCCTGCAAAGTGTCATTTGCGTTTGTAATTTCACAGCTAACCCATCTGCTTCTCTTTGAGCTGGTGCTGCTGTTGGTGGCGGAGCGGTTAGAGAAGGCAAGGCTGTAATGGGAAGGTTGCAGGTTAGAATCCCCCGACCATTAAATCTAAATGTGGATGGAAAAGGTGAAGCACACACAATAGAATTAGCAGATTTTGTTTAGTTAATAGGATGTAGAGGTAGAGCAAATAGAGAGTGCAAACGATGTGCAAAAATTAAGAAAAAAAATGGCACCGAGAATCCCGGCTTGAGAATATTTCACAAGTTTTTTAAAAAAGTTACACAAATTGAGTTTGTGAGCCATTTTAAACGAGCCGTTGTAAAAGTTTAACATGCTTTGTTGTAGTTTATTAACTCCAAACGATGCTCTGAGTCTCCTGCTCCGTGATACTCACAGGACGAGTGGCTGCTGGGGAAGCTCTTGCGTCCTTCAGAGACCACCTCTGGCTCCCCGGTGCACAGCATCTTTGCGTTCACTTGACCATCTGGGAAACACCGTTGGAGGTAATCTGGCCTGGGTCTGAAAAATTAACATACAATTCATTATTTACAGACTTTACACAGATTAAATGAAATATGTGACTGTATGTGATTAAAGCCTCAAGATGCAGCACAGACGCTTGTGAGATCTGTCACTCACCTGCCAACAATCAGCTTGATGGTATTTGTGAAGACTCCGTTTAAGGCGAGTGCCAGGGACACAGCTGGGGGGAAAAGACATAAATCTTATATTATCTTATTATTTAAAGAAGTAAAATTAAATAAGTTTTATGTTTGATCTTTCAGTAGTGGATTATTATTATTTTTTTGCTCTACAGGCTCTGGCAGCTCTCACACAATGATGGTTGTATTTAAAACAAAGCAGCAAAGTTCACGGGGAGTTCTGCGTAGAGCAGATGGTTGCCAGCATTCGTGTGTGAAACAGCATAAACACTCCTCATCCCTGAGCAGCAACAGGCGAGAGAAGCTTCAGTGCAGCAGCCCTGGAGGCTTTTCTCCGAGCACTTTAGCTCAGTGCATTCACAGTATTTTACCTCTCAACAGCAAAAAGAGCAATAATGATTTTGCCAGCGTCTGTGTGTTTGTTATCTTGTACCTTTGGCACAATATCTTGTGAACCGGTGGAAGGGTTTTGAATTAAACTTTCAGAAAATAATCTTTAAAAGAACGTCTCATTTACTTATGGTGATCATCTCAACCAAGATGGCCGCCACAGCTAAGCAACCTGAACAAACACAAACTGGTTAAGACCCAGACAATTATACGGCTACTGAGTTACTCTGAGCTGTTTATCAAATGTTGCCTTTAATTATCAGAGTCGACTCTGTTAGCGAAATATCTATTGAAACACAAATGGACTTTGATGAAGCTTTCTAAGAAACAACGTTCGGACTTCCAGTCCAGTTTAAGATGGCCGCCACAGCCAACTGATCTGACGAAACACAAAAATAGCTGAAACAGTCAGTTTCACAGATACTGAGCTAACATTTGGTGTGGTAGTAGCTGTGCATGATCCCCAACACATGGCCCGAGCACAACACTTTTTTTTTACTTAAAAGCTTAACAACTGCTTGCATTAAATCTCTCTGTTGGAAAAATGACTTGTGGACCAGTTAACTATGGCCACTACAGCTAACTGACATTAGCCAACATAAAAAATGAATTTAACTTAATCGGTTTCACACATTACCGGTAAGATGAAATTTTATGTTTGCATCTGCTCCTAACAGTCAACATTGTCTGTTAGCAAATTATCTCTTGCACCACTGCATGGATTTTAACTGCCTATAGGCCTGGTTATACTTCACAAGATGTTATGGTGTTTTTCACATGGACAAATCCTACTCAGAGAGAAACTCCTGATAAGCCCCTCCCACTGCAACACATGACATTCAGAAACGACACAGCGACGACACAGTTGGCGGAGTGGATGCTTATTTTCATTTGATGCTGGAGGAAGATCTGATACATTTGTTTCTAACTGAGGAGAAGCAATGTTTTGTAAATTTGTCACGAAGAAACTGCCGCCGTTTTTGACAGATGGTGCAGGATTGTGTCCCAACACAGCCCGGCTGAGACACACCTCCTCACCGACAGCACAGCCTTGGAGAGCCGCCTGCGTCTCCTCCATGCATCCTAATTACCCAGTCTTCATCCATGAGTTGTTTGACTACCTTTATACCTTTATGTACCTATATATATATATACCTTTATGAGCATGCATCAGGAGACCACCTTTATAAGTTTTGCTGGAACAGTTGTAAAGATGGTGGCATTTTCTACTGGCCTCGGCCAGCTGATCCTCAGCAGAGATGAAACGAGATCAGCTTCGTTCAGCCTTTTCATGAACAAACACGCCTACCACCTGACCAATCACACACTAGTTGGTGCTGTGAGAAACCAGTTCTGTCTTGGGGCTATGCACAAGAGGGAATTTCCGGGTGGGGTGCGAAAAGAAAAGTACACAATTTTTGCAACGCAACCACGTCTGTGAGTCACAACTTATGACTTCTCATGGAGTATAAACCAAACTCATTAACAGTTGAAGCCCAGCTGTACAGCACCAAGTGGGTCTCTGTGGTACTGCACTGAGCTGGTTTAGGTCATATCTGGCAGACAGATCCATGTGTGTCAACATAGCTGGTTCTGAATCCTCTATTGCTCCTCTGTTTTTTGGGGTTCTACATGGCCCTCTTTTAGGTCCCCTGCTTTTCTCCCTTAACCTGCTTCCTTTGGGCTCAATCCTCAGAAAGCATGGCATCTTTTTTCACTGTTATGCTGATGATAATCAGATTTACATGCCACTAAAAAAAAGATGCCCCCCTCAGTTTGTCCACTTCTGTTGTGTCTTGAAGGCATCAATGCCTGGATGTCTTTAAACTTTTTAAATTTTAATGAAAAGAAAACAGAAGTGATGGTGTTTGGTCCTAGTGGTTCTTGTGAACCTTGCCCTGTTGATCTGGGTCCTCTGGCAACACACGTAAAGAAAACTGTTTCTAACTTGGGTTTTAAAATGGACAGTGATTTTAGATTAGATTCCCAGATTAAAGCGGTGGTCAAGGCCAGTTTTCATCACCTCAGACAGCTGGCTAAGGTAAAGACCATCCTTACACAACAGCAGCTGGAAACAGTAATCCATGCCTTCGTCACCTCTCGGCTGGATTACTGTAACGCTCTTTACCTTGGTGTCAGCCAATCCTCCCTCAGACGCCTCCAGTTGGTCCAGAACGCTGCTGCTCAGCTTCTAACTGGAGTTCAAAAGAGGGAGCACATCACCCCCACTCTGGCTCCTGGAGGTGCCGAGGTCCAAACGAGGACAGAGGTCCAAACTGAGGCTCAGAGGGGACAGAGCTTTTTCTGTAGCTGCTCCAAGACTGTGGAACGATCTCCCTCTTCCCATCAGACGAGCCTCTGCAAGGTCCATTTTTAACTTTTAAAAACAGATTTTTACTCCCTGGCTTTTTGCACAGACTAAAATTTGTTCTGCAGTTTTTATTGTTTTTATTGGTCTTACTGTTTTTATATGTACAGCACTTTGTTGCAGCTGTGGTTGTTTTAAAGGTCTTCATAAATAAAGTAGTAGTAGAAGTCAACCCGATTCAAGATGGCCACCGCAGCTCATTGACATTAGCTAATGCAAAAATTGTTCCAACTCATAAGTTTACAGGCGTTTTTTTGGTATTTGGCACAAATCAAAATCGTTTTTTCTTCACAAGTCAGAAGGTGCACGTTGGAAGGTCGAGAACAAGAATGCTTGAAAGTTCATTTTCCTTTCATCTCGAGGCAATAAACATTGTTTTGTTATAACAGGATTTTGATGTTGCTTTCTCCGACTTAAAATAAACTCATTTTGTCACGTTAACAGTCTATTTAGTAAAAATGAGAAAACAACCGATTTCCTCTTATGGCTTTAAAGAAGCTGCACTAATAACATATGTAAAGCAAAGAGGACGACACATTTCGGTTCCATTTTCATGAAATGTCTCCTGTCAGAGCGATCTTAAGAGCTGAAATCGAATGAAGCAGATACTCAAACGTTTGACAAAATTGCTTTATAATCTCAAAAACACAATTTGTTTCTTGAGGCAGTTAAGTTAATTTACCTTGTTTCAGGAAAACAAAAGGTCACTGGCTTCAGATAAAGAGATGAATTAACTTGTTATCAGAAAAAAGCAGCTTTGCTCTGTTGTATCAGACCGTCATGGGTTTACTTCTTTGTTGCCTTGTTTTCCTCTCCTTAGTGTGTGTGTGTGTTGTTCTGTATATTGCATCAGCCCATCCATCTGTTCGCACCAGCTAATCAAGATGTTGTAGCATCTCTGAGTTTTTCTGCAGTTCTCCTCACACAGCACAACCTTTTGTTTCTTTCAAGCTTCTGTTCAAAGTCTCGATTTCTGAGCCACAGAATCCTTTGATGCAACTCTTCTTTTACTTCTTGGACAACAGATACATATCTTCGGCTTTTCATAGCTAACACTAATCAGCAAAAGCTCAGAATAATTCAGCTCCTTTAGGCACAACTCTATTAGTACTTTGTATTTCTTACCAACAAAACAGGGATTTCCCATCAGTAGTATCTAGAGAAAAGGATTGTTAAATGTTAACGTGAAGAGATAAATGCCTAGATTAAAGTCTGTGGTGGGCTTCAGGAGGACTACAGTTGGCTGACAGGTAGGCATTGTGCTGTGAATGAATGTTCATTTAATTGGCTATAAAGAAAACTTCTGAGACTCGTGATTAGAGAAAGGACCTGCTCCCACAAGGTAATCCCAGCAGTCCAATTTAATTAACCATATTTCAAATTTATGACCTCCCCGAGCTCGTGGGAGAAGCTGAGTGTTAGTATTGGTCATCTGAGAAAAGCTGGTGGGGATGGGATGAACGCCTGGAGTGTATTTTCAATTTAGCCGTTCTGACGGGAGAATTATTCTGCTTTTTTTCTAGTTAGATCTCTCACAGGTAACTTCTGCTCCAGTATGTTTGATCTGAACACAGACACACTTTGTGTTGCTATTGCTTAATGATATGCTGATGACACTGTGATGATCCAAAACAACAGCTCTCACAAAGAGCCATCGTGCTGGATGATGATCCTACGCTCACCAAGACCTATGTGACCTATCAGTACACGACTGAATCAGCGTTCTTGGTGCCGCTGTGTTCTTAGTGCTCACTAATTAGGGTTTTCCTTGAAATTTCCTGCATCCCCATGATGCTCTTCTGTGCCCTCACCATCCTCTGTTCGCATGCTAGATTATCATGACACTAGAACGACAGGTGTGTTTTGGTTACTGTTTGGTAGTCGTTGGTGTTTATTGACGGGTCTGTACCTATTTGGTCATTATGTTTACTCAAGAATGTTAGTTCTGGTATTTGTGTTTTCATTTCACGTCTTTAAAACGTCTTCAGTTGATCCAGAGTCTTAACTGGAGTTAGAAGGAGAGATCATATCTTTCCAGTTTTAGCTTCTCTCCATTGGCTCCCTGTCAAGTCCAGAATTTAATTCAAAATCTTACTTCCAACCTACAAAGCCCTCAACAACCTAGCTCCATCTTATAATACAGATCTTATTGTTCCATATTTTCCTAACAGGGCACTTCACTTAGTGCTTAGAGTAGTTTGTATTTATAATTATTTCTATCTTAACATGCGTTGTTGTTCTTTTGTTTGTTTGTTTGTTTTGTCTTTCCTCCTATAGAAAGACCTGCTCGCTTCCATTCTGGACCTGACATTCTGTGGGTGTCAGTTTCTACTTCCTGGCCTCTAAAACCCAGACGTTCAAAGCAGATGTTTGTAAGTCAAAAAGAAAAACTTCCTGTTAAAAGGGAGTTTTTCCTTTCCACTGTTGCCTTTGTGCTTGCTCAAGATGGGAGACTGCAACGAAGTGAAGACTCAACACAACCTGCTGCTTCCTTAGATAAATAACTTTTACTAACTGACTTTTTATGTAGTGAATATTTCGGTTCAGTGTCCTGAGATAACTTCTGTTGTGACTTGGTGCTATAGAAATAAACTGAATTGAATTTGATCAGTTTGATCAGGACCCTCAGACTTCCCCCCACGCCCCTGTCCCTGAAAATATAGTTTGACATTAAATGGGTCCGTGGTGAAAAATGGTTGGGGACCACTGCTCTAGACGATTTCGAGAAGTTCACAACTTTGTGACAATTTCAAATTAAAAGTTGCTTCACAAATTTGTTGGAACATGTTCAACACTCAAGCGACAGGACTGGACCTCAACAAGAGCGTACAAAAACCACCTTCGTTCTGGCTGTTTCCATCGGTCTTAGCTCAACCGTCCACGGTACGGAGGCCCAACAAGACAAACCACATGGTTTGCTGCCATGAAAGGTGTGTGCAGTCCCGTTTGTGTTCTTTCAGTTAGAAAAATATCTCATCAGTCTTATTTTAATAAAACTCAAAATGCTCATTAGCCGTACATCTACAAGTATCTTCTCCAGCCAACCTGATTTTAGGTGCTGCCACAACAAATTAACGTTATAAAACACAAAACTGTCTTTGACTCAGTAATTTACAGATGAGTTAAAATCAGGTGTGGGCGTAGCCAGGGCTTAATTTGTAAACCAAACGATGCCGGAACGCAAAGAGCGGGGGTCGCATCTATTATGCGTAACCGCTGACAACCCGGAAATGTGGGCCGGTGTTGCGCCAAAAATCGATTGACTGCCAAATGGCAGCCGTGGGAACGTGCACGGGAGGACTTTAACAAGAATTTAACAAGATAAACACCTAAAACAATTATTTGTTTGCTCAGTTTTATAGTAAAAGTGTGTCTCAGTTGAACTTTTACTTAATAAATACACTTCAGTGGTTACATTTTTGCCGGGACGACGCATCAAAAATGAAGCTGATTTGACGTTTGCTGCATACATGATCCCAGAGCTGGATGAAGGTGACCTGGTATGGCAAGCCAATTGGGTTATTAATAGTCACTTTTACCTATTACATGGCACAATAGCATGCCATACTATTCAAGTGCCATCTAGCGGCTGAAAATGGTAGTGCTCGATATTTTCAGTCAGATTGAATGAAAATGGTCATATCTCAGCCAAAAATCGGTTTATAAATATAGGAAAAAAATCCATAAATACTTTGCTTCAGCGTATAAGTCGCAGGGCATGCAAATGATGCAAAAAAAAATGTGACTTATATGCCGAAAAATACGGTAACTTGCTGGTTAAACTCTGAATATGTGTTGAGTTATTTTGACTGATTAAAACTAGGGAGGATATAAAAATCTTAATGAAGAAAGACACCGGTGCTGTCATTAGACGATGATGATCTTCTCCCCCAGCCCTGACAGGTAAACAAGACATTCAAGCATTATTATTTTTTTAACATCTAAACATATTGCCTATAAAAACATCATGCTTTCTTTAAAATGTACTGATTAATTATATTTCTAAGCAAAAGGATGAGAAATACAATGAGAAAGCAGTTGATTAATTTGAGTTAATGCTTTGGCACATTAGTACAAATATGTTTCTGCTGAAAACTGTTTTTTTGGCTCAGTGGAGGATTACTCTTCCTTCGTGCATTAAATAATAATCTCCGTATTCAGCTGATGAAAAATAGTTCTTAAAGCTTTATAATCAAATTAAGACAGCACTACAGAACCATCTCTGCATCGTTCTCAAAGAAAAGTCTGGTGGAAATTACGATCCTCCAACGACTTCATTATTTCAGAACTCTCAGATATATTCGTAATTAAACAGCAAATGTTGGGGAATGATAAAAAAGATTATTAGAAATCTTTGAAAAGGGAACACTGCGTTCTTTTTTTAACTCCATAAGGAGAGAAAGAGAAATATGTTTCCGACAACAGAAAAAACCCCCAACCCATTTTAATTAAATGGAAGCAGCTCGACGATTTATAAAAAATGAATGTGTGAATTTGGAGTTAGACCTTCAGAGATAAACTTGAACTCAGTAACTTTGCAGGAACAGACGTGTTACCACAAAGTTCCTGGAGAAACTCTGACAGGGACTTGTGTCAATTTTAAAATTTTTATTTGACAGGACTATGTTGGGGTTTGCTCTCAGCTACCAACACATCAAATTTCAGCTCAATATGGCAAAATAAATAAATAAATAAATAAAATCAGAGTTCAAGTCATTTTATTTCTTTTAAAGCTATGGTGGCCATGCTGGATTTTTGATTTGGATTCAGTATGTGATTGGGAATGTTCTCAGCTATAACCTCACCAAATTTCAGCTATACATGTGTAAAATTAGCTGATTTAAATGTAGCTTTGGTGGCCATCTTGCATTTAAATTTCACTTAATTGTTTATTGGGCGTTGCTCTCAGCTACCACCAAAACAAACTTCAGTTTAATATCTCTAAAAATGGCTGATTTATAGTTTGTTTTTTTTCTTTTTAGCTCTGGTGGCCATCTTGGATTTTTGATTTGCAACCAGAGGCTACCAGTTCACCAAATTTCAGCTGAATGGCTCTTGTAGCCATTTGAAATTAGCTTTGGTGGCCATCTTGCATTTTTATATTTCCATGTTTTGTGCATCGCTGTCTTCAACCAGCACACCAAATTTCTGCTCAATATATTTTAAAATAGCTGTTATCATATTTTGTCCCTTTTAGCTAACGCGGACACCTTGGATTTTTAATTTTCATTATGTATAACAACTCGCTCTCAGCTACGACCCACCAAACTTCTGCTCAATATCTCAAAGAATGACCGAGTTATAGTCACTTTTGAGTTTTCTGAGGTAGCTGTGGCAGCCATCTTGAATCAAAATGGTTCCAAAAGTTAATCAATGTTTTGTTCAGAGACCTCTTATGTGACCTCACCATGGCAGTTAGAGGCTGCTGAGAGTTCAGTGTTGTCATATGAGGAAAAATGATGTATTATTTTTGCTTATTACGTCGCCACGGTAACTCGAAATGTCAATCAAAGTAAGAGCACACATCACGGTGCCGAGCCGGTCGGTCCGGGCCACATTAAAGTTGAATGGGTCTGGTGATATTTTAAAACAAGCTGCTTTTTCATTTCATGTCCACACGAGCGTGAAGTTTCTGCCTTAATAGATCTGAAGGTAGCACTGCTGAAAAGCTTCACTACGTTTAAACCTAAAATAACAGGTTTATTTATTTCTTCTTTTAAATGACACTGTTCTTGTTTTACCGCTGCATGTCCCTCTCTGCAGACAGTTCAAGTCTCCGCGGCGATGTAATCTCTGCACCGAGCCGCCCTCTCTTCACCAGATTCATCTCAGCGTGTCGCTTTAATTGGATTGGTGGCAAACTTTTATTTTGTTATTCTCCTGGAAATGCCAAAGTGCCTGCAACTCAGGATTGCTGGAGATAAGAAAAACTAACTCACATGGTGAGTTTAAAGAAGTAATCTGGACTCTTTTGAAGTGAAGTTCTATCAAAATTACCGGTAACGATTTATCCTTCAGCTTCAACCTTATTGAGCACGAACCTTGATTGAGGAATAACACATTTAACATGGAGTTGAATACGCCATCTATGTGCACAAACTATAATAGATGCCACAAACATTTGAACCAGGAGTGTGGTTAGACTCCGTTTAGACACCAAACCTTCTTGTAAATGACACTTTGTGCCAGTCGGAGCGTTAACACGTGACACAACCTCGAGCAAACATCTGAGTTAATTTTGACTTCACAGGTTGACTGTCAGCACCAGATTTATGGCGTTTTAATGAAAGGCCCCCACGCACCTAAACATGCCTCTTTGATCTCCGTCCTGTCTGTCCTCTGAATTATCTTCACCACAAATATCACGGCCAGCGGGGTGAGGAAGGAAATCGCCTGTGAAGGAATAAAGAACAGTTATTAGAGATGCTGCGCAGCATTCCTTCACGTCTGCTCTTCAGGTTAATGGTTAAAGGCCTCCTGCTCCGGGGTCATGACCTGAACCCATCTATTATTCAGGGCTAATTTCTCAAAGGCAAACGGGGGGGCCAAATGAGCTTCTTTAATGATCAGTGGATCTTCCTGCTCAAACAGAAAAAATGAGCCTTGACTTGATAAGAGATTTGAGCCCCCCTCAGCACAGAGGCAATTATTCCCGCCACAGAATGTGATAATTAATTTAGGGACAAATGTAATGTATATTTCATTGTCTTAAGTAACAAAACATTTATGATTAATAATGATAATTTATGACAAATTAATTTAACTACATTGTGACAGACATTGGTGCAGTACAAACGACAGACAAGTGTTGTGAACGTCATACTCTGAGAAAAACTGATGCAGGAAACAGTTTACAGGGGACTGCCTAGAAAGGCAGCACCCTATTATTATCCACCTGAAAAGGGTCTTTCTCTTTTATCAACTTTAGTGCGGTCCGAACCGCAGTGTGTCCCCCCCCACAAATGTTATATCAAAACTATCGGCTCGGCACCGTGACGTGTGCGCTTACTTTTATTTGCATTTCAAGTTACCATAGAGATGAAATTTGCAAAAAAAGACGCCATTTTTTAATTGAAAAACACAGACAGAACTCTCAGCAGCCTCTAACTGCCATAGTGAGGTCACATGACCTGGAGTGGAGAGGTCCGTGAACAAAACCATAAACATGCATGTTATGCTGCCTTCAGGCCCAGGCCTTGTTAAAAAGAGATCTGCGATCTCAATGGGAGTTGCCTGGTTAAATAAAGGTTAATAAAAACACTGATTAACATTTGGAGCCATCTTGGTTCAAGATGTTGAACCATGAAGCTCGTTGTTGTAGATGCCTAATGTACATTAAAAATCCAAGATGGCTGCCTTAGCTAAAGGGGAAAAATATGATAACTCATCTATTAAAAAAGATACTGAGGTGAAATTTGGTGTGGTGGTACCTGACAGAGATGCACAACACATTCTAAATTCAAATCTAAAAATGCAAGATGGCCACCGAAGCTAATTTCAAATGGCTATAACGCAGCTGTTTTTAGAGCCATTCAGCTGAAATTTGGTGAACTGTTAGCTAAAATCAATCCCTGATTTCAAAGCAAAAATCCAAGATGGCCACCTGAGTTAAAAAGGAAAAATACTATAAATCAGCCATTTTCAGATAAAGTAATGTTGGTTTGGTGGTAGCTGAGTGTAATGCTCAATAAATACCGAGTTCAAATAAAAAATATAAAACGGCCACCAAAGCTACATTTAAACGGCTTTAGTTCGGCTATTTTTACACATAGAGCTGAAATTGGGAGGTTATAGCTGAGAACGTTCCCAATCACATACTGAATCCAAATCAACAACCCAAGATGGCCATTTAATCTTATCTTATCTTAATCTTAATCACTTAATCTTATTGTAAAATTTAAAAAATGACTTTAAGTCAGTAATTTTTTAGCATTTTTTTTTTTGACTGAGCTGAAATTTGATGAGTTGGTAGCTGAAAGCGAACCCCGACACACAGTCCTGTCAAATCAAAAATTTAAAATGGCCCCAATGTGGCAGTCCCCGTCAAAGTTTCTCCAGAAACCTTCTAGTTTATTATCACTATACATCATGGTTGCAAGGTGATGCTGAAAATAAAACTTTACATTATTTTATTTTATTTTTTTTACACATCCTTAGGCAAATTTCTAGGATTGTGTCACAGATCAGAAAATCTTTTCCTCCACTATTCGTGGAACATGATCAAGGACAGACGCGGTTATGATTTCCAAATTCAGACTGAGACGTGGAAGTTAAAGCCCTGCTCATGCTAAATTATTACATTTAACTTAAACCCATAAATGTCGTTGGAATTCTAAATTCATGCATCGTCACAAAGAAAGCCTGCCACTTGTTGCAGTGAGAACACGGAAGCGTTTCGCTTCAGGCTGCCTTCTGCCACGGTGAACCGTGACGCAGCTCCATGCAGATCCTGTCCACAGTCTCGTATTAACAGTCTGATGAACTCTCCACGGCTTCAGGGCTGCTGTCAGAGCTGACGCTCTGCAGAAGGCTGACTGCTGGCTGACAGGAGTCTCCTGGGAAGTTTGCAGCAACTTCTGAGGGGTGCTGGTGTTTTCTTTCCAATTCATAATTTAAAGGCACATCTCCAGCAAAGATCTGTGCACAATGAAGTTATAAAGCCTGTCAGTATTTGTTGGAAGGAAAAAGGAAACTAAAATAATAAGAGTCAGTAAACTGACTGTTTCTGCTTGGCTCCCAGCTGCTCATTGAGCTCTGCAGATAAACAGACTGATTCTGTTTGTTTGAGTTTCATGTTAAAAATAATGAATGGGCTCTCTGCAGCTTATCACGAAATACTCATTAAATGTTCTGCTGATGAGCTACTTTGAGCTAGTTTCATGTTTCTGCACAAAGCAGCTTATCCATCCATCCATCCAAGCATCCATGCATCCATCCATGCATCCATCCATCCATGCATCCATCCATCCATGCATCCATCCATCCATCCATCCATCATCTTTTTCTGGACTCAGGTCGCGGGGGCAGCAGCAGAGGAGGTCCAGACATCTTTCCACAGCCTCCTCTTCCAGCTCTTCTGGGAGGACCCCAAGGCGCAGGACAACAGTGAAATGTAATCTTTATAGCATGTCCTGGGTCTTCCCTGGGGTTTCCTCCCAGTCGGACATGTCTGATGCACCGCCCTAGGGAGGCACCCAGGGAGCATCCTTACCAGATGAACCACCTCAACTGGCTCCTCTGGATGTGGAAGAGAAGCAGTTCTACGCTGAGTCTCTCCTGATAACTGAACTTCTCAGCTAGTTTCTAAGGGAGAGCAGAGGAAACTGATTTTGATCACTTGCGTCTGTGATCTTGCTCTTTCAGTCTCTACCCAGAGTTCATGACCATAGCTGAGGGTAGGAACGTAGACCGACCAGTAAATGGATAGCTTTGCTTTACAGCTCAGCTCCCTCTTCACCACAACGGACCGCCAACAAAGTCTGTCTCTGTCTGTCGATCACCCACTCCATTTCTCATCCACCTATTCACAAAACTCCAAGAAACTTGAACGCGATCACTTGTGGCACCACGTCACTCCCAAACTGGAGAGAGCAATCCACCCTTTTCCGACTAAGGACCATGGCCTCAAAGTTGGAGGTGCTGATTCTCATCACTCAGCTGTGAACCGCTCCAGTGAGAGCTGGAGATCACGGCACAATGACGCCAACAGGACCACATCATCTGCAAATAGCAAAGATGTGATCCTGAGGCCACCAATCCTGGGGAAGCTATGGCTGAATGGTTAGTCATCATCCTCCAATGGGAGAATAATGGTTTACTTCCACCAGCAGTCACATGTTGATGTGTCCCTGGGCAAGACACTGAACCCCTCATCACCTCTGATGCACGTCTCATCAGTGTATGAATGTGATCTAAAGCTCTGATTAGTCTCTAGATTCAAATTATCTTTGTAGATATGTTATAGAGTGCTGTATGAATGTGTGTGTGGAGGTAAATTAGGGCACAGATTGTTTTTAAAGTGTTTTGATTATCTTGATTAGATACTCCAGAAAGGCACTCTATTAGTACAAACTGTTTACTATTTACCAAACCAGACTCCCTCTGCCCCCTGGCTGCACCAAGAAATTCTGCCCATAAAATGTATGAACAGAATTTTGTGATAACGGGCCGTGGCAAAGTCCAACTCCCTCCGAAGAGGTCCAACTAATGCGAACCAAAGTCTTGCACCACTTGTATAAGGACTGAATGGCTCGTAGCAATGAATCCCCAATCCCATACTCTGGGAGCAGCCCCCCAGTGTTTAATACCTTCTCCTAAGTCCAGAAAACAAATGTGAACTGAATTGGGCAAACTCCCACACCCCCTCGAGGGCCCTAGTTAGGGTAAAGAGCTGCTCCAGTGTTCCACGACCTGCATTGTTCCTCCTGACTCTGAGATTCAACCATTAATCAGAACATCTTCTCCAGTATCCCACAATAGACCTTACTGGGAGGCTAATAGTGATGCTCCTATAATTGGAGCGCACCCTCCGACCCCCTTTTTTGAAGAGGGAACCACCACTCCAATTAGGCAAAACAGTGTTTTTTTATTTATTACCTTTTTCTGTTCATTAGTTTAGTTTATCCAAAAGTTTTTAAACAAAATACAGAATGCAAATCTATGATCAAAACCTAAAACATGTGGCTCCTACTTTCAGTATTTGTGTGTGTGCGATTGATATTTGTAGTCAAACCACTTCCAGATGAATCTTGTGCAATCTGTAAGTTCTCAAAGTATGTGCTGTGGATGACTGTGAGCTACTACCACACTTAGCTTCATAGCTGTTAAATCGACTGAATTACAGTAGTCCCTCACTACTTCGTGGTTCGACTTTCGCGGACTCGCTCTTTCGCGGTTTTTCAAAGTAAGACTGGACATGACACACAACTGGCTGATTGATGGATAAGCCACAAAAGTGGCATGGATTGTTTATTTAAAATAAATTATTTTAAATGATATAGCACCTGCTACACCGGTGCGCTGCACCTGTGCACCTGCTGCACCAGTGCGTAGACTGCACCTGTGCACCTGCTGCACCAGTGAGTAGACTGCACCCGTGCACCTGCTGGAGCTTTGCACCTGCTGCACCTGCTGCACCTGCTGGAGCTTTGCACCTGCTGCAACTTTGCACCTGCCGCACCTGCCGCACCTGCTGCACCTGCTACACCGGTGTGCTGCACCTGTGGGAGAAGATCCCTCCTGCAGCAATGTGGTCATGATCTCCTCTCTTTCAGCCACACATTGCTCCTCTGGCTGAAGCAGCTTCATGAAGGGTTAACCCTTTGCTGTCTTGCTGCGCTTCTCTTCTCTACAGTTTTAATTTAAATATGGTAATATTTTAAATAAACAACCCATGCTGCATGGATTGTTCATTTAAAATCTTACAGTATTTAAATTGTTTATTTACACAGAAGGAGGGCGATTGGGAGTGAAACTTGCACTACTGTATCCCTACTTTACAGTTTTTCACTTATCGTGGGGGGCGAGGTCCCCTAAACCCCTCAATAAACAAGGGACTACTGTATAGACATTTTTGTGAGGACACTGTCTTGATTTGTAGTGACTCCAAAAGGTGAATAGTTGTATATGGATTCCCACTAACTAGTTTTCCACAGTTATTACCTGTGAGTTATAATACTCTAATGTAACCGCACCAAATTTTAACTCAGTAACTGTAAAAATGTATTTTTGTGTTTGCTAAAGCTGTGACAACAATGGAGGACATTTGCGTCACACAAAGTTAACGATTAATAGTGAGACACTTCTTTTAAATGGCACTCATGACCAGGACTTTATTGGTAATGAAGACTGTGACAGTTGGACAGCAGGTACTTACGAACATGACCTTCTTGGGGATGTGGTCTGACTTAATGAGAGGATTCTTGTAGAGCCAAAGCTCCTCAGGTTGTATAACTCTCTCAAAGGGCTCAAGGAACTCCGTGAACCTGCAGCAAAGGACAAAACAAACAGTAAACAGAGGTGCTTCATACATTTTACTGACTCAAGTTTTTTAAGATGTCACACGTCCTTAGTTGGGGTGCAGTGCATCAGAGCTCCTTCTGTGTTTTTGCAGAGTACAGGAAAATAATACTTTTGTGTTCTTCCACACAAAAACAGCTGAGACCGAAAGAAAAGTCTGACTTCACCTTAGATCACCCAAACGGCTGCATCATGCACTCCCCCCCAACCACTCCACCCCTCTCCTAACTTGGTTCTTTGTCATTTTAACAAGGTGTTTTGTCACATCGCTTTAAAACAATTCAATCCTCTGCTCTGTTCTGAAACAGAGGCGCTAGATAAAACTTCGATGAGCATAAAGCCTGAAGTCGTGTGCATGTTCACCAATGTAGCAGCAATGTGAAGCTATAAACAAGTGCATAATTAAGAAAACTCCTCAAGTGGAGGAGTTCAAGTATCTTAGGGTATGTGTTCACGAGTGAGGGAAGAATGGAGCGTGAGATTGATAGACGGATTGGTGCAGCATCTGCAGTATTGTGGACTCTGTGCCGGTCTGTTGTGGTGAAGAGGGAGCTGAACTGTAAGGCAAAGCTTTCTGTTTACTGGTCGGTCTACATTAACTATCCTCACCTCTGGTCATGAACTCTGGGTAGAGACTGAAAGAATGAGATCGTGGCTACAGGAGGTTGAAATGAGTTTCCTCTGCAGAGTAGCTGGACTCTCCCTTAGAGACAGGGTGAGAAGTTAAGTTATCAGGAGAGACTCGGTAGAACCACTGCTCCTCCACATCAAGAGTCAGAGTTTCTTTATTGTCATTCGCACCCCATGTGGTACATGTGGTGGAACGAAATTATGTACACAGGGTCCCAGTTACATCCCACAATAAAATGTAAAAGAAAAACAGTAATAACATCTAAGATATGAACTAAGAAAAACATCAACTAAATATACACTAAGCACTCATAACATAAAAAAAATTACGTCGAACATCAGCACAAACATGAACATGAGTCTGTGTGAGCAGATGAGCATGCATGAACACAGCAACATGAAAAAGATCAGCAGCAACATGATGTGATTTTTTTTCATAGTGATTATTCTAGTTAGAGATTCATGAGTCTAACAGCCTCAGGGTAGAAGCT